CTCATTATAATATCTGTAACAGTTGTAAAGTTTGTTAATTAGTTAGAAGTGTTTGTTAGTGAATTAGTTAGTTAGTGTTAGTTAGTTATAAATATCATCTCTACTGTAATGTAATCATTGTGTGTAGAAAGAAATGAAATAAATCTTCATCTTCCACAATATCTAAACAAATTACAAACACAAAGTTTTGCAAATAACTTGAGGTGCTTGCGGTTTGGCTGTTCGTTTGCGGCCAAAAGAATTTCAAATCCATCATCCGTCCAAAACTAGGCTAGTTGAAAAAAATCAATCCACAACCATTCGTTCGTCATCACGCATCCGTCCAAAATGCGGCGAATCAGTTCGGTTCGGTCAATTTGGACAGATCGGAAAATCCGCTACTCACCCCTAGTTTGAAATGTAATTATATCTTATTTACATTTCATTTAATTTTTCCTTTTTTATTTTTAAATTTCTATCTGAATTCATGAATTTTTTTTTGTCCAAATTCATGAACCAAAAACAGACTTGAGCATCCATATCTTTTTATTGTCACGGAATGCCATTCATTAGGGCATAATTTTTTTGCCTCTGCGTTCTTCTTTCTCTTTGTATTTTTTATCAACAAAAAATAAAAAATTTTAATGTACTTTCACATTAAATTATGTATCGAGATTCACCTAATTTAATAATTGAGAGTACAAAAGGCCAGATATTTGATGACATAATATCCCAATATCCTTCCCAAGTGAGAGTTTTTTTTTTTTTTTTTTTTTTAATAAATTTATAGTAACTCAGTATTGGGCACATGAAACGGATTAATTCGGAGAAATCAATCACATCATCTACTTACAAGGTCCCAATTAAATCCGACACAAAATTCCATATGAACCAATCTCCACAAGTGAGAGAGACTGTGGGAGTACCGTCACTACTGTCATGCAATCTATTTACTAATATGATGCATTTCCAAATAGACCCTCAAACAAACAATTGCCAATTATATTTTCCAAATAGTAACGCATCTAGAAACTTTATGTCATCTTCTTCTTCCATTATTGAATTTTCGCACAAACAGGTTGCATTCAAATATAGATATGAAAACAACCGGTAAAACCCATAGATGCTTACATCGTACGAACACAAGGACAAGAAGAAGAACACAAAGGAATAGTGGAATCACGTGATCGATTAAAGAAGAAAACAACAACACATAATATATGCCAAGAAGATTTAGATGCCCACATCCACTACTAAGAATCACAAATCACTGAAAACAGTTCATCCCTTGTTGTGTAGATTATGGTATGAGATTTAGAGAATAAATGAGAGATTTCAGAGGAAAAAGATGAGTGTTAAAAGAATAGTTTTGAGAAAAGATGAGTCATTTGTCTAGTCACAATTTTTTTGGGGTCAATTTCTCTAGAAAAATACTGGGCACTAAAAAATTTGTATGTAAAAAGTCATATAGAATTATATATTAGCAGCTTAATTTTGAAATTATAAGTTGAAGTTAATGTAATGCAATATTTTGGTTTTAGTTTCTTTTTATAAATTTAATTTACGTAACATTATCTTTATTTCGAATTGACAAAAAGAATAAAGTTGAAGTATACAAATGGACCCATGTAGCAATTCAATCTTTTTCCAGAGAGAGAGAGAGAGAGAGAACAAAACAATTTGCTGAAAACTTTGGCTAAGGAAATCAAAACGTGTGATGCGAGGACCCGACCTGTTTGATTGCATTTGCATCTATTGACCAAAGTTGATATTCTCCACACTCACTCACTCTCTCTCTCTCTCTCTCTCTCTCATCAAAAGGCGTACCTGCTTATCTATCACACGTGTAAGTTCTAGTGGTTATGAACTAGTGTTATCCAAACACAAAAATCACACATAATTATGTATTTTATTTTGGTAGTTTCTTTTAAAAATACATGGTTAATCATTATAAACATAATTTATATGTAGTGTACTACTGTCACGTCATTCTGTTGTAAAACAAATTTTGTGGTATATCATTTTCTTATTAATTATTCTACTTATACAGAAATCAATTATAAAATTAGACACAATAAGTATCGAACTCATATTATGTGACATAATTGTATGAGATATAATTTTGTATTCCTCCTCTGAGTGATGAAAGATTCTCTATCCCTAAATCCCTCAATTCCCATTTTCCAATGCACTACCAACTAAGGTCATCATTCGGCCACGGTTCGGCCTAGATTTGCTTGGCCAATCTCATACCATGAGCAAACTGGTCCAATCAAATAAGGCTTTGGTTAGGTTTTGGCATAAGTGTTGAAGCTTGAATCAGTCCACAAGCTTGATAGTAAATAGAAAATTTTAAAAAAAAAAAAAAAAAATCAAGAGAGAGAGAGAGACAGAGGTAAGAAAAATTTGAAGAGATATGAATTTTAAAGTATGAGCCAATCAACCGAGCACAATACAATGCTTTCAAATAGCGCCCAAGTATAATTTGCCTCTTTTTGACTTGCATAGTAACAAATCATTAACTTGATGCAGTAAAAGTATTTATATATAGTAGGGCCTTTTTTCACAAAGAATCACACATGATGATAAAAAGAAAAGGAAACAGGATTTTTTTTAGTTTTTACCAGCAAAATGAAACAGGATTGATTGATCACATTGTTTTGAAACACTACTACAAACTTTGATCACATTGTTTTGAAACACTACTGCAAACTAATCCTATTCATGATTTTATGCGATACTTTTATTTGAACATAAATCAATTACAAAATTAAACATAACCACCTATTTATATAAGTGAGGAACTCATAAAAAGATGAGACCTATCATATTGTATGTGAGAGAATTGTATCTAATTTCATGATCAATTTGTATTTATTTATTTTTTTTTAAAAAAAATTCTTAGATTTAGTAAGGTAGTGTTTGGTAACGTTTACGTTTTTAGTTTATATTTATAAAAATTTTATAAATTGATTTTTGTTTATTTTTAGAAAAACATAAACTACAAATGCATTTGGTTTGAACAAAATGTTTGAAAAATTTTAAAAATATAAACTAAAAAATATGTTTGTTCAGGTCTAAAATATTTATATTTTTTATTATTATTTATGATAATGGAATCATATACATTATAATTGAAAAAAAAAATTAATTAAAAAAATTATTTGAAAAAAAAATTATTTGAAAAAAAATTTATTAGTCAAATTTTTAAATTTCTGTTTAAAAACCAATGTAAACTCATTTTTTAAGTTTACGTTTTTTTCTCAAATTTATAAACTGAGAACCATTAATCAAAAAAATTATCAAACAAGTTTTTATGATAACTTTTTAAATTTTTATAAATATAAACTAAAAATTAAAAACGAAATGATTACTAAACAGACGCGAAGCATATATGTTTTTTCTTCTTCCAAATTTATCATTTCCTGGTCATTCTTTATCAGCTTTCGGGTTGCTTGAATTGAATTGGATGCGAATATTTCCAGGAAAAAAAGAAGCTATCTCAATTGGATAAACCCAACATCTTTATCCACCTCAACAGATGCTCCAAGGTTGGGTCTACCATGTAAGTCAAAATATATGTTTTTCTTTTCTTTGTTTTTTTCATCTTCAAAGTACGATCAGATTTCTTCAACCAAAATATATTTAGATTCCCCAAAACACTATCTTTTATTTCCAGCATCTTCTTTGAATTTTCTTTTTGTCCTTTCAGATTTAAATCCGAAAGCAAATAATTTTGGATTAAGCAACTTCACTGTTCTTAATAAAAAAAGAATTGAACATCTTATGCACTTAATTTGAACTGAGTGAACAAAAACTTCGTTCCATTTTACACAGTGGAGTGGATGGCTGTATTTTGGTCCCATGGGGCTCACTATAGGCCCAATTTGGTCATTTGATTAATTTATCTGTAACTTCTTATACATACATTATTTATGAAAAAATCATTCATATGAATCCGATAATCATATATAATCACATTATTCTATATTTTTTAAAAAATAAAATGAAAAACAAGTATGATTTTAAAATTACTTTTTCAAAAATAATATGATGAATTATGTAACTGCGATTGTCTGATCAATTTTGATATTTTTTCATCGGCAATCCATTCACAGGGCTTATAAAATTAGATGTGACAAATGGGCGAATTTGGACAAATAAAAACGGGTTATGCATTTAAAATAACCCAATCCAAACCCGCCCATTTAATAAAAATTAGATACAAGTTGGACAAATAAACTCAACTAACCCATTTACTTCATTTTTTTTTTTTTTTTTTGGGTAATGTTTTTAATTTTATTTTATTTTTTTATTTTTATTTTTTTATTTTTATTTTTTTTAAAAAAAAATTATTTTTAAATTTTTAATTTTTATATTTTTAGACAGACTTGAATGGGTATTAATGTCCAATCCATTTAAGCTCATTTATTAATTTAGGCGAGCTTATATGAGTTTTAAATGAGTATAATTTGACGGATTTATGAGTTTGGGCTGAGTTTAGGCTGAGTTTGCCACCTCTATATAAAATGCACGAAACGAATTATCAAAGTGAAACTCATGGAAAGTCTACATCTCAGACTACACCAACCTCATTTTGAGAGATTCAAATTAATCAAATATGGATCATGATTTCTAGCATGATGGTTCCATAGTTGTAGTCTGGCAGGAGTCCTATTTTTGGATGCTAAAACAGTATGTAATATATGTATGCTAAAACAGTATGTAATATATGTATCCTACGTGGGAAAGGCTACGTCAGGGTTAATGTTGTCATTTGAGAATGTTAAAAACTATCCCATGATCACCACGTTTTCAATTTGCATATTAACGATCCGATGAGCGAGAGAGAGAGTGAGAGAGGTCACTATCAAAGCAATGATCAATTCTAATTTGGAATAGAACTATCTTTTCGAATAATTTTTTTTTATTTTTTTTCATCTGCTTTTTTATCTCTATAGTTAAAGCATCCCAATTCACAACCCCACCACCTTAGTCCTCTCTCTATATATAGCTTCAATCACAGCTCAAGTTCTTCACAGCCAACTCTCAACTCTCTTCACTACAAGCATTCTTCATCCAACATCTGCCCAACAATGGCCACCGTGTCAGCTTTAGGGGCTAGAAACCCAGTGGTGATCTTCAGCAAAAGCGGTTGTTGCATTTGCCACACCATTAAGACACTGATGTACAATTTTGGTGCGAGTCCTGCTATTTATGAGCTTGATGAACTTCCAAATGGACGACAACTGGAGAAGGAGCTAAAAGCATTAGGGCGTCAACCGACCGTGCCAGCCGTGTTCATAGGCGGGGAGTTGGTTGGCGGTTCTAATGAGGTCATGAGCCTCCATCTCCAGCGCAGGCTGGTCCAATTGCTCATACAGGCTGGTGCTATATTTGTTTAGTATAAAAATTAACGCTCGGGTTAGTGAGGAAAAAGTTTCAGATACTCTCGTTACCCCCAAAAAAATAAATAAATGAATAAATAAAAGTAATGCCAAACTCTAATATTAACATGCTATGGCAAGTATTAGAGTTCTAGTTGCTTTTGTAGTGAATGAGAGAATATTTAGTAGCGAGATAACTAGTTATGAGTCTCTTTTGATATGAAAGTTTGGTGAGAGAACTTGTGTTTTAAGGTATGTGTATTTTTCTTTTGTTGTACTAAATAAAGTCATGCTTGGTTATTACTGTCTCTTCACCGTTATCCATTATTGTCTGTATTTTCTATATATATATATATATATATATGTTGGATAAGTGAAAAAGAATTTACATGTGTAAAAAGAGTATAAAGAAGTACGGTAAAAAATAGAAAATGCAATAGGTCTTAAATTTTTTACTAAATAAATGACCAAATGTCTCGATATGTGATTCACAAAATTGCGGACCACACACTCATATGAGACATTTAATTATTTGTTTGATAGAAAATTTGGTATCCCTAACATTACTTGTAAAAAATACATGCAGCCTATATTTTTATATGCTTTAATGAACGAAGGATTTAGAAATAATATATTTAACAATATAAGAATATATAAGATATGTATAAATTGCAGTGCCCCAACAAAATAATATATAAAACATGCATATTATATGCGTGTGTCCAAAAGACACATGAAATATCATCGGAGCTTAAAAATTACTCAAGTTGTTTTTTTAGTCAGTGTGGAGAGAGCACAATCTTCTTGAAAATTACCAGTGATTTCACATTTTCAACTTCATTTTGAACTAGAAAAGATCTTCATTTTTGTGATTCTGAACTTGGTACATATAATTGAAGAAGAGCATTGTTGCATGGATTGTGTTTTTTCGTTCAGACAAACCTCACCTCTGGAAATGATACCGCGTCAATAAGTTTTTTTCTCTCCGACATTTCATTGTTTTTCTTTCAAAAACACAAAACAAAAACAAAAATATTGAAAATGAAAACAATACCAAACAAAAATCCCAATAGTTTTGTCTTCTTCTTCATTTTCTGAAGACAGCCCTTTCGTCAACCTAATGCTCTGTAATTACAGAACAATGTATGAAGCTAAAACACACTTAACCAAGAAAGAAAAAAGAATAAAAATTTAAATCCACACAAAATCATTGATAAAAATCTAGAAAATCCCGTTTAATATGAACCTACTTCTTTCTTCTTTTTTTTTAACTAGAGATGAAAATGTCAGTACAAAAATCTAGAAAATCCCATATGATTTCGTTTGGTTTTGGATATGTTGAGATGCATTTGCTAAGCTATGATGGAGCTTCTCCCCCTTAGCTTGGTTCTTGGTATTCCATTCTTTGTAATCCGTTTGTTTTTATTATTTTCTAATAATAGAATTTCAATTTCCTTTGCCAATGAAAATTAAAATTTAAAATATATATATATATATATATATGTGATTGTTTTGGAAAGTAGATTAAAAGTTAATTTTTAAGTTCTTTTGACTTTTTTTTAAAAAATATGTAAAAAAAATAAAAAGATGTTATAATCCAAAACAAGTTAAAAGTCAAAATTACTACTTAATCTCTTTGTCAAAAGGGGCCAATGATATGAAAAAGGCATTAAAAGGAGCTAACATTTATTGGTGCTATTTGGTGTAACTGTTAAAATAGATTATAAATTATAAATTAACAGATTATAGATTATGGCTTTAATCATAAGCTGTTAATCTGTTTGGTATAGCTGTTAGATTATAGATTTAAGTTACTGAATAGTGTTTGTTAAATAAGCTGTGAAGTAGTTTTTTCAATTAATTTTTATTTTTTATTATTCACTATTTGTCTACATTTTTTATAAAAAATAATAATAATATTTAATAGTCCATTTGGGTCTTTTTCTATTTTTAAAAAAATAAAAAATAAAAAAATCTAAAAATATAACCGTGAATTAACATGTCCACTGCAGAAGCTGATAATCAGAAGTAAGGGGTGAGCAGCTTCTCAGAATCAGCTTTTTTGACTTAAAATAAGTTGTTAGAATCAGAAGCTGTTTGAAATAAGTTTAACCAAACAGTCCAAAATAACTTTTTAAAAGCCAGAAGCCATAAGTTGGCTTAAAAAAGCTCCACCAAACACCCCCATTGAATAGGATTGTTCTCTGATAAGCAACATGATAAGCCACAGCTCACACAGCAGCAGCAGTTATCAGACTCTTCAGCCAAAGCTCAAGCTTAAGCTCTAATTGATACAGCTCAAGCTCCAGCAATTGCACCTGTAACCAAAGTCACACGTGTGTAATAATCTACAGCTGTACATAAGTTGTTAGTTTGTTAGATGTTAACTGTTAAAGGTTAACTGCAGTTTGGATAAGTAGTAAGATTCAAGGTTAGGCAGTTATGGTTAGGTTTCATTGAGTGTATAAATGTATCTTCACTCTGTAACAATTTGATTCATTCAATACAAAAGATATTCATTCTCTTTATGGTATCTAAGCCATAGGCTCTTACGAGCAAGAAAGCTTCAGAGCTTCATCAATGGCTTCTCCAAACCCCACACCTGCAACTACTTCTTCTTCCTTGATGCCTTCATCTAGTATCTTTCCTTCGAATCTCACATTATTGATTTCCAATCTCAGTTCTTTTGTTTCTACAAAGCTTGATTTATCCAATTACATAGTTTGGAAGAATCAGTTGCAGAACATCTTGAGAGCCACAAAACTTCTTAGTTATGTAGACGAATCAGAGGTATGTCCTCCTACATTTGTGTTAGATTCCAATAACCTTGAAATTTCTAATCCAAATCATGTCTTATGGACTACTATTGATGCTCATCTATTAAGCTACATCACTGCAACTCTGTCTCCATCTATTTTCACTACTGTCATTCAATGCCAAACCAATCATGAAGTTTGGAATGTTCTTGCCAAACGATTTACTTCACTTTCCAGATCTCACATATATCAGTTAAAGAACAAGTTGAGTAAGATTGTTAAGAAAGGAACAACAATAGAAGAATATATGAATCAATTCAAGATCTTATCTGATCAACTTGCTCTAGCATCATCTCCTATTGATGATGAAGACCTAGTTCTCTTGATTTTGAATAGACTACCTGAGGCGTACAATGCTGCAAAAACTACTATACGCACAAGATCAGATCCTATTTTCCTAAATCAGCTTTGTTCTTTACTCTGTTCAAAGTCCATTCATGTGGAGTCCTCTCTTAAACATGCACATGCCTCAGATCTTCCAGGTTTCATTGTTTAAACTGCACACAGAGGAAATCACTCTAATCAAGGAGGTTCTGAAGGCTATTATAGAGGCACAGGTTCTTTCAGAGGCAGAGATGGAGGTAGACCTAGAGGACAGATGAGTCACTATCAAAGAGGCTCACAATCTCAGAGAGGCAGATCCAGCTATACTTACAATCCTCAAGCTGCTTCTAATACTAATTCTTCAAATGTGATCTGTCAAATCTGTGGAAAAAGTAATCACACTGCTCTAGACTGCTGGTACAGGTTAGACACAGCTTTTCAGCAGCCTTCTCCCACTCAGTCCAAGTCCAAAGCCTATGTTGCATCATCTTCAAATCAGCCACAGTCTGATAACTGGTTTCTTGACTTCAGAGCCACCAGTCACATGACACCTGATCTAAGTCAGCTATCTTTCCCTCAGCCATACTATGGCCAAGATCAAGTTGCAGTTGGTAATGGCTCTACTCATTCCATTGCTCACACTGGAACAGGTCTTCTTTCAACTCCTTCTTTTCCTTTTCATCTTACAAAACTATTTCATGTGCCTACATTTTCATCCAATTTACTCTATGTTCACCAATTGTCCATGGATAATCACTGCACTATCACCTTTGATGAGAGCTCTTTTGTTATTCAGGACAAGATTACTCAGAAAATCTTGTATGAAGGCTGCCACTCAAATGGACTTTATCCATTCAGTGCATCTTCTTCTGTTGCATTATAACTGCTGCATCTGCATCTTCTCAAGCTTCTCAAGCATGTTTTTCTTGCTCTTCATTATCTACAGCTTCACCTAATTGGCATTTCAGACTTGGTCATCCTTCATCTAAGAAGCTTCATCATATTCTTTCTCATAATCATCTAGGTTCTAAGCTTTTGTCTAATAAAGGCTCTAGTTTGTGTGAACATTGTTATGTTTCAAAGAGCCATAGATTGTCTTTTCATTTGTCTAACTCTACTGTTAATAAGCCTTTAGCTCTTATCCATACAGATGTTTGGGGCCTTTTTGCTTCCTCTGTTTTAGGCTTTAAGTACTATGTACTTTTCATTGATGATTTTAGTAAATTTACTTGGTTTTTTCCTCTTCATTATAAGAGTGAAATTTTCACTAAATTTTTTGAATTTAAAGCATTTGTTGAGACACAATTTCACACTACTCTTCAAATTCTTAGAAGTGATAATGGAGAAGAATATCTAAGTACACCATTTCAAACTTTTCTCAAAAGTAAAGGCATTGGTCACCAATTAACTTGTCCGCATACACCTTCACAAAATAGTGTAGTTGAAAGGAAACATAGGCATCTCATTGAAACTACTATTACTCTCATGCATCATTCTTCTCTTCCTTTGATTTATTGGTTTGATTCTATTGCAACTACTGTCTATTTGATCAATAGACATCCTACTCTCAAGCTTAAAAATCTTACTCCCTATGAGGTCTTGTTCAAACACAAACCTGATTATATGCTCTTGAGATCCTTTGGGTGTAGATGTTATCCTTAGCTCAAACCATACATCATTAATAAGCTTCAGTCTAGATCTATTGCATATGTCTTTCTTGGTTATCAACCTTCAATCAAAGGTTATAGGTGTCTTGATCCCATCACAAGCAAAATCTACATTTCCAGACATGTGGTGTTTGATGAGTCCTCTTTTCCTTTCCAGGCTTCTTCTAAACTGTCTTCTTCTGCAACTGCTGCTTCTTTACAGGAGTTTTTCTAATCTTCTCCTTTCTCCTCATCCCACACTGCAGCTACCTCTACAGCACAGCCAAGTTCTTCTCCCACTTCTGTTATTCACTCAGTAGCTCAACCAGTTTCCTCTCCTATTGTTGTCCCTCACTCAGCAGCCCAGCCAGCTTCTTCTTCTGCTGCTGAAACTCACTCAGCAGCTCAACCAGTCTCTTCTTCCCCTGTTTCTGTTCATCTCCTATCCACAGCTCCTTCTGATCAGATTCCTATATCTAAAATTTCTATTGATCTTCCCTATATTCCTTCCAATGCT